CCTTCTCACAAGGAAGAGGGGAACTTCAGCGACTTGCGGGCACTACCTTTAGGTGGGCGGGGAGGGCAGTCGGCGTGGTCGCCTGTGTGTCGGTGTGTGAACCCTTTTCAACTCATTATGTGTGTGGTGTGTGCCAAATGGCAAAAAAAACAAAAAAAAACTTCCCATCACTGGAAGGCATGAGAGGACATTCGAAACTCATGACCTTACTGAAAAGCAGGCGTGGAAGTCGGGTCTGAGCTCGCGGAAGCAGGTGTCTACAGTGACCTTATCAATTAACTTTCCGGTGTGGAACGTGAAGTGAATCGATCTGGAAACTGTAGATTTAGTTCGAAGAAAGGTAATTCTGGTTTGGAAAGTTGTGAATTCGAAGCGAAGAGGTATATATAAGAGTACCAGCACAGTACTATCTCCCAAGAAGCGTGCTGATTTTACTCAAATTCGCCGTCAAGAACGAACACGTTCCATCCACTTTGCTTTTAGAGAGAAGAAGTGAAAGAGTGGTATTCGCTTTTTGATAATCCGTTCATAGCAGTTGGTCATATAAAATAACTTGTTGCTTTGATTTTATTAACACCTCATGTGAACATCTCATCATGCAGTACTACAGAAAAAGATGTAAGATTGAAAAAAATTGAATCATGAGTGGACTTCTTCTTCTCCTTGGCGTGCGAATGATGAGCCTACAAAAGGAGGATTGATAATGCTTTTCATCATGCCACTTTCCTCGATGTTATCGGAGTCGGCCTAATGAAGTTTAGAAATTGAACTAAAACTATTCTACTATTCGTTTGAAAACGTTAAGGGAAAAGATGACGAGTAATAATCAATTAGACATGAAGCAAAGCATTCACCAGAAAGCTTACGTTCAAATGAGAACGATGTTAACGTTCCAGACAACAATTTCTCACAATTTCGGATTCCTGTACATTGCAATCGGACCACTTTCCGAGGAGACATTAGCACAAATGCTTTTGACATTGTACTGTGTGACCTTTATTTCTTCCTTGGTATTAGTAATGAACAACTTTGTCTACAGATATATTCCAGTTGTGCAGGTAAGCAAGTGTGTTTATGACACTGTTACAAAACATGTCATGCTGCACTAGGTAGAAAGCATATCGCTATATGAAGCACTATAATAGCACGTAAAGTTTCTTTGTTGCCGCGAAGGTGCTGCGACTTTCGGAGCGCAAGAATCAACGGCTTTGAACAACTTTTCCTTTATACTGCATTAATCTCATGTCACAACAGATTGCACATTTCATACAGCGCGCCATCATTTTCTATGCAACTATTTTAGAGCACGCCTTCTCTACATCTACCATTCGTTGAAGTGGGCCATTGTTACTTACTCCGTCAGCGTAGCTGTGATATGCAATTGGGTCTCTAATGCTTTACGTGGAACTGTCCACCGAACCCATCTGAAATAGAATTCGCAAGAAAATTCGTAATTGACAACTATGGGCTAGATCCAAGAGGAAAAGCCTTTTTTGGAGCTAGAATAAAGGTTTGCTATAATCTCTATACGCTGCTTCATACATATATCAATTCCCTAGTATAAGTGCACTCTCCAACATTGACTTCAAGAAGAATGATGTGTACTTTAAAATAGTCATGATTTCAGCTTTTCACTATACCACAATATATACTCTTCTTCGAGACTTTCTCACTTGTAACGGCACTTTTCACAGTTGGAGCATTATGTGCTTGGAGGATTGATAGCTGTATAAGAGAGAATGCAATGAGTACTCAAACAAAGAAAATGCACCGGCACATGCTCATCATGCTCATAGTGCAGGTTTGCTAACAGCTCTTCTAAGCGAGCGGCGTGATGTCAAGTTAGTAAGCTTTTCGGCGCAGGAACTGCCCTTCGGCAGGCCTGAAAAATGGCGGAATCGCTAATATGATTCGTACGATTAAATCTTTCGAAATTCGTTAACAAACTCTACATGACTTCGAAAGCCAGATATGTTTGCATGCATGCTCCCTTGCTTTGTTGTCAGTATATCGACGTCTGCTTCAAAGTCCTTTCCCTACAGGAGGATGTAGACAAACGTTTTGACGTCACGAATGAGCAGTCTTTCATAAAGCTCACGCGCGAAAAGCTATGTGACAAATGCCTCACCCTTCCATAATGCCCGAGTGAGGCTTCGAGGATGCAGCCGCTTTTCAAAGTGCTAAAGAAAAGCCAGGGGTGAGAACATTGTTCTCTGCTAACGATCAGCGCTCTCGCCAAGCAGCATGAGCTGTGATCAGTACAGGTGAGGATGAGAGGCTAGAGTTCGTGGAAATGAAAGAAAACGTCGTTGAACTCTACGGCTGCTAAGTTCCTTCTTCTTTCCATAGAACCGAAATAACGGTGCAAGCAATAAATTTAAAAGAATTTTTCAGAAGAGGGGAAATATCCTTTAAAGCCACGTCGTCTCTGGTAAATCAAGCACTCGCACACGAAAGTTCCTAGAGAGATCGGGTCTAAAAAAGGCGGGATTGTGGAGATTCCTTCCGACTGTTTGAGGATGCGCCTCACCCGAAATTTTCTCTACTATCGTACATGAGAGACGTGGAGTTGGATTACCCGTTCACCGGCGACACGGAGGCTGTGCGATTGTAGGGTGGTATACAAATGTGAAAGTGAGACGGCTCCACCTCCTCATCTGCGGGTAAACTCGACAGGGCTTTGCTGCTCAGATCATTGTTTCGACCATGGTATCTCTAATAACTCTCAAGGCTCTGACACCCTAGAAAAACCTTTGACCTCCATTTTGTATAGCATTTTTTTCCTGTTGACAAATAGCATGAAGAGCCTCCTTGAAGAGAATGGAAAGACTGCCGGTTCAAATTAAGGCAAATAGGTCTCATCATTTCGTCCTAAGAAATCGTGAGAAATCAGAAATGCTCGGCATATAAGATCGAGAGAAACAGTGTGCGTAGGAATCTTCTATAACATTTCGAGATGCGTTTTTTGCAGCCACTCGTTTATAATCATTTTTCAGGCTGTTTGTCCGGGCATGCTCCTCAACGCACCACTTCTCTCTATATATCTGCTTTTTTTCGCTGGTATCGATAGCCCAATAGCGATGAGCTACGCCATCACTTTTTTGATGGCATCGTACTCAATTTTCTCTCCGATCATCGTTCTCGTGTTTATGAAAGACTATCGGAATTACATCCTCGTCACATTGCGCCTAAGAAAACCTAGTGAAATCACGAAGGTGACTGCTAGTGACGGGAAACCGGCTTTCACTAGATGAGGACTATACAAATAGGAAGCAGACGTCGTTTCCCTTGTGCGAAAGTGTGTGAACTTCAGACCGCTCCATACAAAACTGATTTCCTTCACCCAACAAAAGTTGGAACATGTAAATGATGAACAACATGGAATGATAGTATTGTGATATTGCCTGTATACTCTGTGTCACATTATCATTTTGTACTATCCAGTTTTAGAGAGCAGCTTTCAAATATTCCACAAAATGTTATTTAGATAGATTTAAAGAACCAAATCTCAGATCCTCTCGCGCAAGAGGGTGTCGTTGGCCTCTATCTCACCAAAGGCTGTGAATACTTGCA